CAAGTCAAGTCAAGTGTGTTCATAGAGGTTTCCATGGGCCAATGCGAATAAAGCTAGATTTAAGTTTAAAAAGACACGATATTGTCTGACCTGACATTTAATTCTTATGCAAAACAAGATGTGATATGAGTGTGATACATAGGCTACATGTGATGTGATACATGAGGGTATGTGATACATACATACACTACTAGTCAAAAAAATTTGAGCAGTAAGAAAGATCCAATAGAAAGATCAAAAGATCACTTTTATTTAGCAAGGATGCTTTACATTGATCAAAAGTGATGATAAAGACATTTATAATGTTACAAAAAAATTCTATTTCAGATATATGCTGTTCTTCTGAACTTTATATTCATCAAAGAAACCTGAAAACATTCTACTCAGCTGTTTTCCACATAATAGTAATAATAAATGTTTTTTGAGCAGCAAATCAGAATATTTGAATGGTTTCTGAAGGATAATGTGACTGGAGTAATGATGCTAAAAATGCAGCTATTTAAATGCAACAAGTGCCCAATATAAGTGACAGGACAAAGCAACATAATTAGCAGGTATTTTACACTCGTTCATGCACACATAATGACAGTCAAAACTGTGTCATTCAATGATACATACTCAATTATAATCCGACAATTAAAAACAACAACAACAACATAAGGGCCATTTTTAACTCCTTAAAACAAAATAATATAAATATAAAAGTTAGAAAAATTTCCAAGTAACGGATCAAATCGGGGCAAATAGCCTACATTAAAGAGAATTAGGCTACCGAAAATGAATAAAATATGCAAGCATATACAGTCAAAACGGCAATCAATAAATTAACCGATAACGTTAGCCTACCCTCGAAACAACACATGCATCATTTTTTATGTCAGTCAGAATAATCAAATTTAAATGCAACAAGTGCCCAATATAAGTGACAGGACAAAGCAACGTAATTAGCAGGTATTTCACCCTCGTTCATGCACACATAATGACAGTCAAAACTGTGTCATTCAATGATACATACTCAATTATAATCCGACAATTAAAAACAACAACAACAATAATGTGCTTACCTTCGTGTCGCTCTATAATTTTACACAGAACTAGAGGAAGCCTCTTTTTAAATTCATATTGTACAACATAATACAGAACTTTGAACTTTTTGACTTTGAACAGTCAAAACTAATACAATCTCGCAGTTTTCACGGATTCATCAATCTGCACCGTTTAAAAGATAAAGGACAGGATCGTATAAACCAAGATATTTAGTTTCGTTTTGATTAATTAATTCAGATGTGCTCTGATTTCTCAGTTGCAGTGATAGAGCCTTCGTGGCATCTCACTGGAGTCATATAATCGCGTTTTGAGAGTTGAGAAACTCTCCCACTCTTTAACTTATATTTAGGCATTGTGATTACTTGAATATACAGTCATTCAAAATCAGATACGTTATAATTTATCACGCTAAAAACTTGTCACTCATGAATCATAATGTCTGTCTGCTGAGCCCTCGTGATAAGTGTGGCTGTTGAAGTTTACATCAGCACCAGCGCCTCTGCAGTGTGTGTGTGTGTGTGTGTGTGTGTGTGTGTAGTAACGTTGTGATGACTGATTGGATGCAGTAGGCCTACATGCATACTTGGGCTTGTTTGTTAAACAATTAGCCTATGCGATTTATATGTTTGAAACCCGTCAAACTGACCCCAAATCAGCCCAAATTTTGTCCACCCGCCCAAGCCAATTTTTACCCGCACAATCAAATTCAAAACCGCCCGATCTGGCAACACTACGCACAAGCTAGTTCCAATAGCAGCCACGCCTCTAAGGCGTGTAGTGTTTTCTAAATGAGCTATCGATTGCTTTTGCCTGGTTGTTGCAGCTCAATTGTGCTGTTTTGATTAAAGTGCCTGCCTTCCCACCTGTAACAGAAGCCTCGCCACTTAAAGGTAATTTTGAGCATTATGTGTTTCAACATTTTGCTTTAAATCTGGTTAGCTACGTGTAGCCGAACAGGTCAGGTGTGCAGTGCCTTTGCACACTGAGCGAACCTCTTTAATCGACTTGCACGGGGTGATAAATAATTAGCTCGTGCTAGCTGCATGTACGCGTCCATTGTGTTCTATGATTGGAACTGATGCACGAAATGATTCGAGATGAGAAGCTTGTTTTGGTTCATCATCACCGCACAGCATTAAAGTGTCCAGAAGTGATAATCGTTCATGAATTCAGCCAGGTATTCTAATAGAGAAAGAAATGTTGAACGAGAATCGCTGTGAATGGCTTGTCAGTGTTACAGTAAGATGTAAACATGACCTTTTCAAAAACAATTGCTGTACTTCCTGATTAAAAAAAACCCGGTTGTTACTGTAAAATCATAATAATAAAGGTGAATACATGTTTTCTGCAGCGTAAGAAGCATTTAGAGTCTTTTATTTTGATTTATTTTGTATTTTTTCTTACAGTGATGGGTAATGCATATTTACTAATAAATATTACTTATGTAATACTATTTAATGTATTATTGTTTGTAGCTACTGTTGTATTTTGGTAACAATGGTTAACGTATATAGATAACTTATGTTTTTCAGACATCTGTACAGTATGTGAAATTATGTCTTTGTGTTAGTTTTTATTTTATTTATTGTTTTAGGTAAGTTGCATTTTTAGAAGAAACTGGTCTAAGCTTATCATTGTTTGTCTAAGTGCCAGGAGGAGATTCCAGCCATGGAGAAGACCGCACCAGACACAGAAAAGAAGACAAACACTGCCACCACAGTTTCTAAAGCGTGTCTGGAGGCAGGCTTGTATAAAGACTTGGAGGACTCTGACTGTAAGTATACCAAAGATAAACTGTGCTTATAGGGGTCATATGATGTTGCTATGAAGAACATTATTTGGTGTATTTGGTGTAATGAAATGTGTTTATGTGGTTTAAGGTTCAAAAAAACACATTTTCCACATACTGTATATTATTGTTTCTCCTCTATGCCCCGCCTTTCTGAAACGCACCGATTTTTACAAAGCTCATCGGTCTGAAAAGCGAGGTGTGCTCTGATTGGCCAGCTATCCAGTGCGTTGTGATTGGCCCGAATTCCTCATGCGTGTGATGGAAATGTTACGTCCCTACCATATTGTGATGCCTGCGGCAACCTCATGTGACGACCCCGGGCTGGACTCCGCTTCGTCCACGGTGAAAGCCGATCCGGCGATCTACAGCGCGTAGTTAAAGTATTTCCTCAGCGACCAGCACGGATCAGCTTCAGGCATGATGAAGCAGATATAGTCCTCTTTTGGAAGGCCAAACAAAGTAGTTTCGCTTTCACAACGAAACACACAGCGTCTTCACGACATGGCGGCGGCGGCAACAATACTACAGCGAGAATAAAAGTTATGCCTTTTTCTTTGCGTGAACATTTGGGTGGCGTTATGCAAATCTCCCCACATCGTGACGTAGACATGTGGGGGCGTGTTAGAACGAGCCATTTTAGGTAGGTGTGGCTGACTCTTAACTTTTATAAAGAATATCTCTTTGGATTTCAGACTTTAGTCTTTGCAACTTTACAGATCTTCTTTATGCACCAAGAGCTTGTAACACTCCAAAGAGAAAGGAAAAATTGAAATCGCATCATATGACCCCTTTAAAAGCTAGAATACTCGACTTTTGCCTCGTTTTAGAAAGTCAGCCAGTCTGCAGATACTGGGCAGTACTGACAGATTTAGCAGAAAATCGCATAGTGTATAATGATTACAAAGTTTGTTTTAACCTTCAGACTGTGATTCCTTACAGCTGCAGGATATCAAACATGTTTGATGTTTTGAGTGATTTTAGAACACACATTGTTCTCGTTCACCGTGCATCTGTGTTTCTGTGTGATTTCGTTGTGTTCGGAATGACCTGAAAGTCTATGTAGTGTGTGATCGTCGGTCATTTATCATACGAGGCCAGTTTTTTTTTTTGCAAAGTCAGCAAGTGTGTCATACCTAGCATTTAAATTTTTTTTGAAAAGTTGAGTATTCCAGCCTCAGCTGGGAACAGACTGAGTTTAGTTTAAAAATAATTTTCACCCAAAAATAAAATGATGTCTGTATTTAACCTCATGTTATTCTAAAACCATTTTTATTCTAGGGTGAATTATTCCTTCAAAATCACTGACACTTTTTTTTTTTCTTCTTTTTTTAATCCGCAATAATCCCTTTGTTACAGTCTAGAAAACTCAATGCATTCTCTTTAGGAAAAACAGGCATCATAACATTATGCATTTTTCTTACAGTAGGCATCCATAGTTGTGAGTTTTGTGGGGCCAGTTTTGAATCCAGGCGAGGTCTTTCCAGTCATGCCCGGTATCATCTCAGGCAGCTGGGAGTGGCTGTGTCCGACAGTAGTGGAGCTCCTATAGACCTCCTGTACCAGCTAATGAAAGAAAGAGGTGGAACTCTACCCAAGCTCGAAAAACAGGTCAGCCCTGTTAAAAAATACAAAACAAAGTCCCCCAAGCTCAAAAAGGATTCTGGGCCCAAACTGAAGATTAAAATATCCAACCTTGTAAAGAAAAAATATGCCCTTTCCTCATCTTCCCCCATTGCTGTAAAAGGATCAGCAGCATCTGGTCGCTCTTCTTCGCCTTTCGCTGTAGGGAAGCCTCGTAAAGCATCTTCTAAGAAGATTGTAGTGTCCACTCCATCTTCAGCCCTGTCTCTTCATAAGGATGTGGAATTCAGGCTCAGTGATGGCAGTCCGTCTACCTCCCTCTCGCTGGCCTCAGCCAAGCCCCTCTGGGCTCCTAAGGAAACAGATGTCCCACTCAATTTAGGTAACAGTATTAAAGATGTTTTGGTATGTGCTTTGGAAGTAGGATACATTCCCAAAAAAAAAAAAAAATGGACCAGCAAATTGTACCACTCTATAAAGCAAGCTAGTTAAAATGATGAAGCAGTTCTTGCTTGTAACATTCCAGTTAATTTTTAAATGTGTTTTGTGCTTTTTCACCAGAAACTATGATGAATTCTACAGTGAGGGATGATGTCCATGTATGTGAATTATGTGGATCGTGGTACGAGACCCGTAAAGGTCTCTCCAGCCACGCACGGGCCCACCTGCGGCAGTTCGGTGTGAATTTGGACTCTAAAGGTGCTCCCATAGACATGCTTCATAAATTAATTCAGAGTGAAGACTTCAAGGAAAAGGCCAGTGCTGGGCAGCTGGAAGGGTCGGATTTTGAGAAATACACATCACCCTCCTCCACTCCTTCCACCTCGTCAGCCATCAGCAAAAATCCCCCTCTTGCTCCTCTGTCGTTTAATGGGCTGACATCCATTCTTCTAACACCTCCCCCTATCAAAAAGAAGATTATTTCTCAGGACTTTTCAAGAAACTTGCCCCTCAGTGACAAAGTAGAGTTTAAGTCCCCTCCTTCAGCCAAAAAGCACAAGATTTCACTAGATGTTTCAGGGAACATGCCACTCAGCGGCCAAATAGAATTGAAATCACCTCCCTCAGAATTGATTCCATCTCCCCCAAACACAAAGCAGAAGATTTCTACAGCTGTTTCAGAGGAATTGCCTTTCAGCGAGAAAATAGAATTGAAATCACCTCCCTCAGTGAAGAAGCAGAAGATTTCTCTAGATTTTTCAGCGAGCTTGCCCCTTGGTAAAAAAGCAGAATTGAAATCACCCTCTCGAGGTGAAAATTTTAATTATTTACTTTATTCGTTTAATTTTATTTTTGAAGAATGTTGGAATACCTTGAATTTGTGTGGACCTAGGGGTTTATGATAGTTTATAGAAAAACACAGTTATGGAAAACAAGGAAATCTGGGAATTTTAAAAGTTTGAACTCCAGGCCTAGAAAACTCATGAAATGAATACAATTTTAAGTAATGGAAATTACTTTATGGTAAATAAATATGAATATTTTTGTTAAATATTATGCGTTTCTATAGAAATGTCTCAGTCATTAGTCAAAAAAAGTGTGAGAACTTAGTTCTAAAAATTGTTTTAAACAAATATACATGTGTGTATATATTTTTTGGTTAGTATAACAATTATTATTATAATTTTTTTTTTAAATAAATGCTTTTATTCAGTAAGGATGCATTAAATTGACCAAAAGTGACCTTAAAGGCTTTACATTGTTACAGGAAATTGCAAATAAATGCTGATATTTTGAACTTTCTGTTCATCCAAGAATCCAGAAGAAATGCATTGTTTCCACAAAAATATTAAGCAGCACAACTGTTTCAACACAATAATACAGTGATGATTATGATAATAATACGAAATGATCACCAAATCAGCTTCTAATTTCTGAAGGATCATGATAAATTCAGCTTTGCAATCATAGGAATAAATTACATTCTAAAATACATTAAAGCAAAGCACAGTTTAAAATTGTAATATTTTACAATACTACCGTTTTTATTGATAAATGCAGCTTTGGTGAGCATAAGAAAAAAGCATTAGAAAAATCTTACCAATTCCTTTTGAACGGTAATGTGTCTAATATACAGTTCACCTTAAGCTTCTTCACAGTGGGCATTAAGGCATGATTTTACATCAAATAACCAACAAACCAGCTGCCTTTGTTCAGTCTTTAACCATCAAATATACCATCAGATACAGTTCTGTAACAAAACCGTGTCCATACTTTTTTCTTTTTTTCATAACAAAGGTGAGTCATCTAAAGATGTCAACTGTGAGTTCTGTCACGAGAAGTTTAAAAAGAGTCAGAGCCTGGCCAGTCATGCCCACTATCACCTGCGTCAGATGGGCATCACAGAGTGGTCCGTCCACGGGTCTCCCATAGCCACTCTCCGAGAGGTCATGGCCCAGCATGGTGGTTCTGTGGGATCTCTCAGTCCCCTGTGTCCACCCTCGCTGACCCCACCTGTATCCCCTTCTGCACCCCCTCTCCCCTCATCCCCTAAACCCATTACCCAGCCTTCCTCTCCTCCTCCTGTTCCTCACAAAGTTCCAAAGGCCAAGAAAGGCTCCAGGACTGTGATCCCAAGACCAAAGGACGAGCCTGTGGAAGTTGATATCTCTATCATAGAGTCTCCTAAGCCACAAAGCACTCCCACCAGCCCTTTAACACCTATATCTGATTCCAACACCGTTAGATCACCTGTGATCGGTGCGTAAAAATTAATGTTACTTCTGTTCTTTTTTTTCTTCTCCACAAATTCTTGCAATTAATTCAGCTGACACCAGTTAATATGTGGATTGTATTTAAACTTTCTGTAGATCTTTCAGCCTTAAGTGTGCTATTCATTTATGATTGAATTAAGGGTATAAATTTAAGAAATGTAAAGTTTGAAAAGCCACAATAATTACATAATTGTACTTATTATTGCAATCTAGCATAGATTGCAAGAAAGCAGTATTGTCTTTAAAAAAAGGCCTTTAAAAGTCTTAAACGTACCTTCATAAAACCTGCAGAAACTGTAACTATCAACAGCAAGTATTTTGTTTTATTGTGAATCACTTCAGTTTATGATGATTTCTGTCTGCTTTCCACAGCCCCTAAGCCCGAGAAGCAGGAGCCCAAAGCGTTCGTATGCTGCGATTACTGCGGCGAGATGTTTGATACTCGTAAAGCCCTGTCCTGTCACGCACGTGGTCACTTACGACAGCTGGGAGTAAGGTGGTCCCTGAAAGTCCCACCCATAGAGGCCCTGTATGAGCTCATGAAGAGGGAGGGCACTGAACGGGCATCCCAAATCAAATCAGAACCTGCATCAGGGGCGGCAGTGCAGTGGAAAAAAACAGCATCCTCACCTCAGACGTTATCTGGGGAAAAAGAGAAACCTGCCTCAGACAGCATGACCACAGGTACACTGAAACAAGATTTTTTATTTTATTTTTTTTTCCCCTCCCGCACAATTTATAACCTCCCAAAAATTTACAAAAACTTGATCTTCACTCTAAACTTTATTCCTCTAAATTATCAACATGATCAAAACTTAACTAGGCTGAAAAACCTAGAGGTCGAATGATATGGGGTTTTCACTGGCTGATGCCGATATTTAGAAATCAGGGCAGCCGATGGCCGATATGATGCTAATTTTTTTTGGCCGATATGTTTGGCCGATTTTCTTTTTTTTTTTCTTCTTCTTTTCTTTTCTTTTTTCCCTTCGTTTCATAAAAGTGAGTTTGAGTAAATTATTATTGCAGGGTACAAGATAGTAATAGTAAGTTGCCTAATTCAGAGTAATAATACATGGCTCAAAACTTAAGCACCTTCTCAAAACAGTTCTGAAGCATGCTTTTTGTTTATGTTTGCTGACAGACACCAGTGTTTCCCACAGACTTGCGAATGTAAATGAATTCTCCGCCATCAGGAGGCACTGTATTATTGCAGGCAAGATAGTAATATAGTAAGTTGCCTAATTCAGAGTAATAATACATGGCTCAAAACTTAAGCACCTTCTCAAAACAGTTCTGAAGCATGCTTTTTGTTTATGTTTGCTGACAGACACCAGTGTTTCCCACAGACTTGCGAATGTAAATGAATTCTCCGCCATCAGGAGGCACTGTTGGAGCGGGAGATATACCGGATTTCCCCGGTAACGGCTGTAATCAAATCAGCACTGCGCTCACAAACACTACTTTATCATGCATTACAGGAAAGACGAAATTAAAATGACATCTAAGCTTTTCTGAAGACGGTCGGTTCTTTTCAAAGATACATTCATATAAAAACAACCCGCTGCATTTTAATTTTGAAACGTTCAGTGATCAGTTTATTCAACGAAGTAATAACTCAATGTATGGGAAACACTGGACACTGCTATAAGTCAATTGGCCAAGTGATAACAAAAATAAAAGAGTTCACACATATTACACAGCCTGCTGCTCATAACTGCTTAAGAGTGTGCTGGCCACGAGCGATGACATCATGGACCTACACACATTTCACGAGGAAAGTTAACGTGCACGTTATAATCAGCCCAGAAATTTCGTCTCAATTGTGTGTGTTTCTACTTTAACATGCAAATGACTTGTTGCACTTATGAATATGATAACTTTCCGGCATTAATTCTAGTAGGGTCAAACGTAATTACGCTTTCGAAACGGTCTGTTTTGCCCTGCCATCATTAGCTGAAGCTGTGTGTGAACAAGAAGCGGCTGCAGAGTGTGAGTTGCTCCATCTCTCACGCAGCCAGAGAGATTCTCTCTGCAACAACGCTTAGCTGCCCGCAGATGCGCCTGCCTATAAGCCTAATTTGCAGCACAATCGGCCGATACCGATTAATTAAAAAATGCCAAAAATCAGCCGATTAATCGGCCGACCTCTAGAAAAAACTATTCACACAATCTACTACATGCCTTCTGTCATCTGTTTAATAGTTTATACTTTTTTAGCAAGTAAAAAAACCTTTTAGTATAATTCTAAAGATGTCCACCTTGTGAAATCTTTACTGATTTTTATAAAGGAAACTTAAAAATAACCATTTGTAATATTTCAAGATAAACACTTACTGCTCTGAAGCAATTTAGGTTTCACTTGATTATCAATACATTGTTTTTCAGAAAAAAATCTGGTTAAAATGTGAGTATCAAATATGTACATCAGGCTTTTGAGGATGGTTTATATGTACATCTCTTAATTATCATTATAAGTACATTTGTATTGTATTTAATTTTACACAGTCAAATTAAGTCACAGGGCAAACTGACCAAAGCTGACTCCATCCAGATGTTATTCTGAATGTTGGTGCAATGTCTACTTTCATGTCTTGTGTTCCTCACTCTCTACTCTTTCTGCTGAAGGCTGCGATGCCACCTGTGAACTCTGCGGCTTTGATTTTGAGAATCGCAAGGCACTGGCCAGCCACGCAAGAGCCCACCTGAGGCAGCAGGGAGTGGATTGGAAGGTCATCGGCTCTCCTATTGAGACCCTGGCGGCCTGGATGAAGAGTGAGCCGGCGAAGGTAGCAGAGCTCCATAAAAGCTACATGAGGGGGCATTTGCCTCTTGTTAAGAAGGTGAGTCCAGATGAAATTGTTGACTTAATACATTCTAGTTTGTTTTTTTTATCTTTTTAGGAAAGTGTTCTGAATTGTTATAAGTATAAACCTCACTGAAGTTTGTTAGATTTACACTTAAAACATGAAAAAGAGGTAAGATATATTATCTTAAAACAAATTTTAATATCTTGGGTCATTTTACTTCTCGGGTAAATGTAAACTTTAATGCTCATAATGCATTCAAAATCTGTATGCTGTTTTCACATTCCAGGTGCGTTTGGACCTGAAAAATGTTTTTATATAACAGTCATAACTTAAGTTATTTTTCAACTAAAACATCAAAACAAATATTTTCAAACAAAAGTTTATTTTACTTGCATAAACTTTCACTTGCAAATGACAAAAGATCAAGTTTTCGTGCTGCAGTGGTTCGTCAGTAGGCATACGTATTCATATTTATCAACAAAATGCAATCACAAAAATGTGTAAGATATGGGGAATAGGCTAAAAAAAATTTACACTAGTATAACAACATAATTAATAATAATTCTACTAAAAGTATTTTTGACACCTAATGGTACTCCATACATAGTTGGGTCCAAAAAGACCTCAACGTGAATCTTGTAAAAAAAAATTGATTGGTTATATATCTTTAAAAGGATTTGTTAAAAAAAAACTGAAATAAATATGAATGAATTAAATTGTGTATTTCGAGGGTCTTAAAGCTTTTACAAACTATGTTTAGATTTTATTTTTAACAGGAAAATACTGATCCTCCCGATACTACAAAAATCAAGGGTAGCGTTAGTACTGGCAGGTCACATTAGTCAAGCTCACATCAGCTGACTCTCAGCTGATCCCCATCTACCTATAGGAATACGACACCTATCTAAGCATTCATATATAAGATCCCTCAGTATTATCAGCAGTTTTTGCATTGCTCAATAGCTAATTACCCTCCTCCATCCCCAGCTCCTCCTCTGTCAGTCGGGATTCAGCCTTCTGATTATCCTTTGAATCAGACTAATTCTAAAATGTGTACATAAAATTATTGAACTTTAATGATATCTGCAATACATTTATGTTGGTTCTGTTCTGTTTACCCTGGGGGGGTTATTGCTGCTCTCCCTGCTCTCATCCATGCTAGGCTGCATGGATGCACAGGGAGTTCTTGCCCAGAACAGAACCATACCGCCAATCCAATCTGTATGCTAATTGTCAATCATCTTTGACGATAGTGGTCCTGACAGAAATACAAATTAATTTGTTTTCTTTTGCAGTATTTGTGTTCCTTCTTAAGATTTGTATAAACAAAGTTGTCAGCAAATTCTTGTATCGTTGATATTCACAAAATGTCTCTGTCTCCCTCTGTTGTAGGCCTCTAGAAGAACCTCCACTCCATACTCTTCCTCAGACTCTGAGTCTGTCCGTCTTGGTTCTCACAAAGGTTCATCTTTTGCTCGAGACACTTTAGCTCAGCTGCAGGTATCCCAGCTTTCCAAAGCAACTAGAGAGGGCAAAGCAGGGATGAGCCACTCCATCTCATCACACAAGAAATGTTCACCTTTATCAGATGAACTATCCTCAAACAGCCTGATCCAGATCCCCACAGCCCACAGTGAACTGAACGTTCGTTCACCTCGAGGTAAGGGGTATATATGTATTTCTTGTTTGAACAAAGGCTTCACATTTTGTATTAACTGAATTTAACCAATAAAAAACATTAATATGCATAGTAAGAATCACTGTCCTTGTTTTAGGCTGTGAACGGCGTCCTCCAAAGCATTTATCTCACTCTGAGAGTGTATCTGGGGAAACAGAACCTTCAAAGCCTTCTCGGGCTGGAAACATTCCATCCTTGGTGCCTAGACCACCAGAGGCCAGCCTAGTAAAGCTAGTAGGAAAAATGTACTCCCTTAAGTGCAGGTGAGTTCAAACCACTAATCAGTGGTTTTGCTGACTGAAAATTGTGTGCTCACAGAGAAGCAGGTCCTGATCCAATTAATTTTGTAAGACAGGGGTTTGCAAACATTTTGACATTAAAGCCCAAAGAATGCTTTGGTTTTTATGCGTATGCTAGAGGATGCATACAGTGCCTCACAGTACGCGCATAATTAATAACTGTAGTTTAAAGAGTCCAGACATTTTTATCACGCAAAAAGCACAGATGCTGGACAAAGATGAATCTTTCTAGTGCACGTGTTGATTGCCTATGTTCATGCACACTATCAAATGAAGTATATTTTGAAAAGGGTTTGTGTTTGACGTGCACATACCCGTAAAAAATAGCCCAAGTATATTTTGAGCTTAAAGGGATATTTACTCAATTACATATTCACCCTCCACTTGTCCTACACCTGTATTATTATTTTTTTTCTTCTGTTGATGATAAAAAAGGTGTTGGAAACCAAACTGTTGACACTAGCCATTGATTTTCATAGTACTAATACTATAGAAGTCCATGGCTACTGTAAACTGTTTGGTTACCAACATTCTTCAAAATACCTTCTTTTGTGATTTTTAACAAAATAAGATGGATTAATTAAATTACTTGATATTATTTAGTACTGCCCTGAATATGCCATTTTTAACAGATGTTTACATATATGCCTTAAGACAAAATAGCTGAGTTTAATAAAAGTATAATAAACATGTTGAAAGTTTACATAATTTAATTCTTAATACTTTGTGTCCTAACCTGGATGTTTTGTTTGTTTGTTTTTTTTGGTAATAAGTTCATGAGTCCCTTATTTGTCCTGAGCAGTTTAACTGGCCACTTTCCTACAGAAAAATCCTGCACATTCATAGCTTTTCCAGCATCTTCTGCATATTTGAACCCTTTTCAACAGTGATGGTATGATTTTGAGATCCATCTTTTTACACAGAGGACAATTAAGGGACTCGAACTAGTACAAAATGTTCCAAAAAAAAGCAACTTTTTGAGTGCAATGATTTTGTCTTGTAGGAAACGTGTCAAATATCTTATTTTGCTTCTGAAGGGCAGTACTAAATGGAAAAAAAAAAAAAAATCTTTAAACAATTTTTTCATTTTACAGATCTACTTTTATAAAGTTTACAGATGTGCATGTGCTCATGGCATATAAGGATTTTGAATCTGTCCTGCATTGTCCCCCCAGTAGTGTCATAATGCATTCATTGTAATTAAATGTCCATAAAAAATCTAGGGTAATCGATCATCTGTGCATGGTTTGATAGGTTTTGTGAGGAGGTTTTCCGAGGGCCGCTCTCCATACAGGAGGATTGGGTCATACACCTACAGCAGCACATCCTCAAGCTGAAGACCGATTCAGCCTCAAGCTCATCACCTCAGCCTCCTCTCAGTCACAGCGAAGCACCACTGCTTATTGGCCCTCAGGCTGTCTAGATGCTCTTTCTGCTGTGGTCTTTCTTTTCAAAATTATGCAATTACACTACGCTGACTTTTTATTGAGAAGTTTAACTTTATCACCTGGACCTTAAAATGTCAACTGTGATGAGGATTTTTGCCTAAATTTTATTTTCTACTTTTAGATGAATTTTTGTTGGGCACTACTGAAAGTGATTGACCACAGCATTTCTTACCTGTCAAGTGTTGTCCAGTGGATTTATTGAGATGATTTGAATGTATTTTACTTTATTGTATTTCGCTGTTTATAATGTGTTGCCACATTTTACCAGTTTTCTTGATTAACAAGATTTCAAACCTATTGTTTTATATTGTACTTAAAGTTTGAAATGGTACTTAAAGTGTTTAGTTTTAAATAAGGTTTTATTGTTTTATGAACAAAGTTGTGTAGACCAGCGTTTGGTCATTGAAATTAAGTTATTGTTCTTACTTTTTAATATAGTACTTTGAATTTTGAAAACCGTGCTTCTCACATGAGTGAATGACCTGATTTTTCAATGCCAAAAAAATCCAGTAATAGGGATTTCAACAGATTTTCATTTCTGTGTATTTTTTTAGGATTTTTCCAGTTTAAAGGGTTAGTTAATTACTCACCCTCGTGTTGTTCCAAACCCGTAAGACCTTCGTTCATCTTCGGAGCACAATTCAAGATATTTTTGATGAAATCCGAGGGCTCTCTGACCCTCCCATAGACAGCAAGGTAACTACCACATTCAAGGTCCAGAAAAGTACCAAGATGATCGACAAAGTAGTCCGTGTGATATCAGTGGTTCAACTGTAAAGTTACGAAGCTACGAGAATACATTTTGCGCTAAGAAAACAAAAAAAAATGACTTTATTCCACATTTTCGTCTACTGCGTCGCTTTGGATGCACGTTCATGACAATACCATGACGCGAGTGTGTGGCGGCGCCGGCGCTGACCCAGATCCGGCATGATGAGGTCATTACGCCGGATCTGGGTCCGCGCCGGCACCGCCACACGCTCGCTCAAGGACCTTGAACGTGGTAGTTACCTTGCTGTCTGTGGGAGGGTCAGAGAGCCTTCAGATTTCATCAAAAATATCTTGAATTGTGTTCTGAAGATGAATGAAGGCCTTGCGGGTTTGGAACAACACGAGGGTGAGTAATTAATGACAGAATTTTCATGTTTGGGTGAACTAACCCTTTAAGCAGTAACCAGCACTTCTTCTCTGCAGGCCTTCTCAAGTGATCCCGGCATTAAATGAGACTTTAAATGTCTTGTTTTTACTAACACGTTTTTGAGGAGCATTTATTTCCTATATTTTCAACCGTATAGTCAACAGTGTGATTGTATTACATGTACTTGTGTATTTGTCTTTGTAAAACACTGTGCCAGTGTCTGGTTGGAGTAAAGGCTGTTCCAACAACAGATATTAATAAATACTTTCCAGAAAGTATATAGATTTCCATATACATTATTGCTCATGTGATATTTGAGGTTCTTTTTTTTTCTTGGTCTCAGGCTTTGCAAGGTTTTAATTCAAATTGAGTTGAATCAAACTGTCAATGACAAGCTGTAGTCCTTGCAAAATTATTTAATTAAATGCAGTATTGAGACAACTTTTTATACCTGCATTTGATAACCAATTAGTAAAGAATCTATTTACTGCTTTGTTGGTCATTTATAGGCAACTCTGCAGTACATTTTCATGTCCCTCGTCCTAAAAACACTGTTGAATCCTAAGCTCAATCAATTCAGCATATGACTTGTATCTCTTGTATCAGAGACATAAGACTGATATTCCCAGAGCTGCTCTCCCTTTCCTCTTCTTCATGGCTGTTTTTCACTCTTAAGGTCTGCTAATGCTATATCCCTGTGTAAATGAAACCCTTCTGTTTCAAGCGTATGCTTCCTGCACATGTGACTGTGCACATATATATATATATATATATATATATATATATATATATATATATATATATATGTATCCCTGTAAAGCCTGAAATAGTCATCAGATAATTTTTTTACATTGAGGTTTAATGAACCTTTAGGGAAAAAAAACTATTTTATTTGTGGCTTTTATGGCTGTAGTAAGATATTTATAAGTAAGAAAGTAAGTAAGATACAATTCTGATAGCTTATAATGTAAAATAAAGTTGTTAAAATGCCTTTTATTTATCAATAGTATAAACTATCATTATCAAATTTTGATCATGTTGATAATTTAGACCTATGCATTTTTGCTTAAAGGTGAAAACCCAACTCTGCATGTTCTTCAATTAAACATATTTTATTGGACTATTCCGGTTTTAATGCAAGAAAACGTTTTAATGAAGTATGCTCACTCGGGGAATTGTTTAGTAAGATTTTAGCAGAAAGGATTTTAGATTTTTTTTTTATCATGTTCATTAAAAAAAAATATTGTAGAATTTTAACTGCTGTACTTTTGTGTTCGCTTGGTTTTTATTTTGTGTTTATGTAACAATTGTATTATTCCAACTCAGTTTTTGCCATGAAGATAACCTTAGATGCTGACATGGCAATAAAAATAAATACTTCTTGATAATTTAGAAGCCTATTTGATTGTATATCAAATATGATACAGTAGGCTTTGATACATCAGGATATATATACATCGTAAGTATTTCACACACACACACACACACATAGATATATATATATATATATATATACAGTGGGTACGGAAAGTATTCAGACCCCCTTAAATTTTTCACTCTTTGTTATATTGCAGCCATTTGCTAAAATCATTTAAGTTAATTTTTTTTCCTCATTAATGTACACACAGCACCCCATATTGACAGAAAAACACAGAATTGTTGACATTTTTGCAGATTTATTAAAAAAGAAAAACTGAAATATCACATGGTCCTAAATATTCAGACCCTTTGCT